CTGAGTACCGGAAGCATGTAGATTAAGTGATCATAAGCAAACATTTTTACGTTCTATGAAAGCTGAAAAATATAAAACAGAATGAAGTTGTAGTTATAATAATATCAATGAATCAAATATTAATTAATCGTTGAAATAAAATGATACAATTCATATTAGAAGTGTATATTTTACTTACGTAATTAAAATATAAAATCCAAATAGGAACCAAAAAATGTCTTTTAGTTTACACCAACTCCTCACAATAAAAATTGTTTATTGAATTACTAATTTCTTATTGTTAATAAAAATTTTTTTAAGATAATATTTTTTTTATATTTTCCGTTATAGGTACAAATAAATTTATTTATTTACTATAGATATATTTTATTTTCAAAAAATGATTAATCCTTTTTTTACGGATTTATAACATTTTTAAATAAACAAAATATTAAAAACAAAGTCTCTCTTTACTTAAAATCCAGAGTTGATTATTAATTATACATGTTGTTGTTATACACTGGGTCGCCCATTAAGGATTTTTAAAAACGTTTTAAAAATCATTACTCGTTCACTAATATTGGTCATTGTCAATATTATATAGTTATTAATGATAAATTAATGTTATTAACAACATTATTCGTATTATAATATAAGATTACAATACCAATGCCAATTATTGGCATTAGATAAGTTTTGTCCATATTATAATAAAATTACGTATATATCAGAGGCGGCCAAACTTTTTTCGGCCACGATCTACTAAAAATATACTTAACCTTTGAAGATCGACTTTCTTGGAAAATTTGTTTATAACTAACACGATTAATTTTCGTGCACGTGCCCTAAAAATAAATTCTAACGTGATCGACTTTGAAATCGTCCGCGATCGATCGTTTGGCCGCTCCTGGTATATATTATTAGCCTATTTGATATTTATTAATAGATCAATTACTAGATCACTGATAAAAATAAATAATAAATATTACTAACGAGCCTAGGCGGATTGGAGAACAAAAAAAAAAAAAAAACTAAGGACCGAGTCTGGGGGGAGGGTATTTTGTAAGTTTAAGTTCAGGCCGGATCGTCACTAAAAAAAACGGCTTATGCAGATCTCTGATGTACACCTACGCCTGAGATATGGTAGATACGCTCGCTTGCTATTAGCTATATTCTGTGTTTAGGAAAATGCATATAAGTATAATATTATGTTAATCCTATTTACTTATTAATGACGTTATCACATCAAAAAAATGTTTATTTCAATAATAAGTCGTTAATATTTTGTCAAAAATGAAATTCCCAGTTAATGTGTGCTATAATAAAGTGGTTCTCAAACTTATTTTGTATCTAAATTAACTAAATAAACAAGATTATTTTAAACCAAATCAATTTGGTATGATTAATCATTAATTTTTTATTTATAGAAAAACAACCATTTTACAAATGTAACTTTTGAATGATGAAACTTTTTAATATTATCTGTTTTTTTATCTAAATAAATGTAGTTATATTTTATGTTTTATCTATATAAATATTCAGATAATTATCTATTATCTTATCTAGATGAATTTTAAATAAATTATACGTAATCTTATCCAAATAATCTTTTGGTTATCTATGTACAACACCCAGTATGAATCAGTGTGTCACTAAAATGGGACCTATGAGCAATAATGTTTTATGCACTAACTATTCTGTGACATCTGTGTGACTTTTTTATCAAATGTATATCATTATGTATTCAAAAGATTGATCCACTATCTTGACAATAACGTCTACAACAAAACTAATGTTTCAGAATCACACGATTTTATAATACCTATTTTGAATATTAAAAATAATTTTTTAAAATGCTCTTTGAAAAGTTTTAAATCCTTAAATACTGTTTGTTTAAATATATATTTTATAAAATTTTGATATTTAATTACAATCGTATATTTCTTACAGTATAAAAGTGTAGGGTATCAAAAGTCAAAATTTCGATTGTTTTTAAAAATTGAATTCAGGTAAACCAAACATTTATTTTTTATATAAATACATAAAATAAAATGATTTTCCTGGAAATTCTGTTTGATTATGAACTTAAAATTAAATTTTAATTATAATAAGTATTTAACAAATTATCCTTGTTTTCTCATTGATTCGGAATTTAATAGACGTAGTCATTACCAATACCAATTAAATTATCATAAAATGTTTACAAATGTTATACAATTTAATATTTTCATACAATATTTGATTTACTTTATCGCTACAAATTGATCAAATATTAATTAGTCAACAGTTTGGATGCAACAATTATATGAAACAATTTTAAATTTCGAAAACATTTTAATATATCATTTTGAAATATTTTAATAAGATTAATTTTTTTGGATTACAATTGCGTATCTGTAAAACTCAACAAAAATATTAATTGTCTATTTGATCATTATTGTTCATCATATAATACAAAAACAAAAATAAAAAAAGGCACATCGTACGTCTTAGTAACCTTAATTTATAGACTTTATAGAACTTTTTCATTAAAAAGTACATTTTCTTGGTCGTCGAATAATCATTATGTAAATTTAATTAAACATTTAATCCATGTAATATTCATATATTTTGAAAATATGATACTAGTTTTATTTTCATAACTACACAATCCATAGCAATTACGTATTAATACTCGTACTATAAGAGTAGTTAAGCATTATTACTTGTTCATTATTAATATTTTTGTTTCTAGGAGGTTTCCGATGATTTTAATTTTGATATGTCCCTCGTGTGTGTTTACGTTCGGTAATTTGTATTAATTAAAATTATCAACTAATTCCAAAATACATGTAATATAATTATTTAATTTTTTTATCCGTTATTCTATACCTATATACTATAATTAGCTTATAATATGTAAAAATTGTTAATTATTTTTCTTTGTAAACATATTATGTGAATTTATTCATAAAAAATCCCTATGTAAATTACAGTTTAAAAATACAGAACAATATAAATCAAAAGTGTATTTTTATAAATAAAATATATTACAACTAATGAATTATTTTTAAGATTTTAAATGTAGATTAAATATAACTCTTGCTAACTTTATACGAATGATCTGAGTGAAGAAACAATAAATTAATCATACGATCTATTGAAGTTAATCGTTTAATGAATAGCTCATAATACTGCTTTTACGCAATTATTATATGATAATGTTATTTTGCTCTAGGGCAATTTTTTATTGTTTGTTTTAATTTCATTATTATTAAGTATTACAAATGTATGAAGCATATTAATAAATATACAAATGTAATTATTTTGACATTGAATGCTTGTTATTTAATAATTAATTTAAGTGATCTTACTATTATTAAAATAACTCAAAATTAGAAGTCACATTCACTTTTGTCTTTTTTTTTTAAATTAAATTTTTTAGAAGAATTAATATTTTTTATATTGAATTTTAATTTTGGCTTAAATTTTCCACTACAAAATAAATTTATGTTTTTGAGAAATAATTATTGTATTATACAAAATATTGTAATGATTTATATTTAAATTATACGTAAAATAAGTAAGATATAACTAAAAAAAAATTGTTTTCATAAATTACAAAATTTTATCTAATACATAAACTTGTACTATTTATTTTAAATATGAATTTTATTTGATAATTTATTCTTAATAAATAAAAATGTATGGTTGACAATTTTTTGTTATTTAACTTTAAAGTTAATAACTAGTTGCAATTATTCACTTTGTTCACCTTAACATAAATGTAAGTCTTAACATTTTAGTTTGAATACAACACTTATACATAAATTCTGAAGTAAAAAATATTTTAGATTTTTATGATGAAATATTTTTTGCTCTAAAACTGTTCAAAATTTAAAATTTGGACTATTTAGAATTAAAAACTTATTTTCATATTCAATTATTTATACTATCTATTTTAGTATATACACTTACCTAGTTAATGAAGAATAATTTTGATCAATAAATTAAAACTGTAAAGTAATATGTTAGAACAAAAAAGTACATTCGACCATACTTACAAATATAAAAATACAAAATAATAACATAAAATTCAATTATTTTAAACTTCTATAGTAACTGCGTGAATTTAATTACATACATAATATTTTAAATGAAATTTTTACCAAATTTCTTAATGGAGGGGAACATTTTGGATCATTAAGCATACAATTGCATTAACTCAGCAAAGTATAAATTAACTATTACAATTTTACATTGCATTGATTTCAGAATTTTAATACTCGCTTACGAATTAAACACAGAAAAAGGGCATTAGGTGAATTCAATTTAGCAATAAGTACTTGTATAAAAATGCAATTTCAATTGCGAAATAATAAATATTGCTACCGATAAGCTTTGATTTTTAAATAATTATTGATTGAATTAATGACAAGTTTTTTTAGTTTTGAAACTACTTACGTTAATATTTCAAATAAAAGTACTGTACAGCCAAAATTACGAAAAAAAGTGATTAGGTGATTATCATATTTATTTTTATGTAATTTTATGGTTACACAATTACTCTTGGTCGTACTTATGTGCTGAAAAAATTACTACGTAAAACAATAATACTATCACAACGTATTTCACTTAATTAAGGAAAATACCTCTTAGGTTATATTGGTTTTTAATTTAAGCACTATTCAATGTTGCGATATTGTGAATCATAGAATACGAATCAAAAATAATATCATATTTCTCTACAGCACTCTAATTATAATTGTATCCTGATAATGGATTTAAATTTTAAAGCTATAATGTTGGATATTTTGATAAATATAATTTGG